CATCCTGTTCCTGGAGATCCACCATCCTGCAAGGTTCAGCTCCAACCCTGATCAAAAACAACTGAACCAGCTAAGTAATCTCTTAGCAGCACTTGATAATTACAAACAGGTGTGTTGGAGCAGGGCTGGGACTGAAATCTGCAGGTAAGTAGATCTCCAGGAACAGGATTGGGCACCTCCTGATGTAGTTCAATGCGTTTAAAGGTTTAATACTTTGGGTTTGGGGTTTGTTCAAACTGACCCTCAATATGAGGAACAGTAACAGTGGTGCTTGCCATAGCAAACACATTGAATTAATAATACAAAAGGGTACATTAATAAACAAAACAGGGGTTAAAGGACAATGCATATCTTGGTTTACCAGAACTGATGACTTCAGACAGGACAGCATAAACCTGAACATACTCTTTGTTGTGTTTGAGAGCCAAGTGATCAGACTCAAAATAGTAGACATCCTCCTCTTCCTCCTCATCTTCCTCAGCCTGAGCGGCCAGCAGCTTTTCGGTGGATCGCAACACTCTACTATCTGACACTCCAACCTCTCCACTGACCCCTGCTTTCTCTGAGAGTTCATTGTCTGCCTCGCTAGAAAGTCCCAGTGCATCACGGGGAAGGTCTTTATGGCTGGTGTCTTTAGAGGAAAGAGAAACTGGCGTGGACTCCTCCTTCAGCGAACCATTGTCTATGTGCGGGGAACTGGGTTTGGGGGAGCTGGCTTTGAGCCCACTACCAAAGGCAGCGCGGCGCGGTGAAGTCCTCAGGGTGTATCGGTGTTCTTGAGGCTCTGTGAAGGAGGGGGGCTCTGCAGGCAGCTGGGAGGCAGTCAGCACCACCGTTTCTCCTGAGATATTCGAGTAGTTGTCAGAAGGGTCCTGCGGCTCAGCCTGAAAGCCGCCGTTGGTGCTCTCCTCTCTTGCGAGCTCATCCTGAGCCTGGCCGGCATCCCCTACGACATCCACCTCTACCTCCATCTCGGGTTCCCGGGATAACACGACCTCGGCAGCTTCCTCGGGGGTGCAGTTCCTCTCACAGTCAATCTGAGGGCTGTCGGACTCATTGGCTTGCTTGGGATGAGGGGATCTACAAGGCACAATAGGGTCGGGGGATGAGGGTGCAGCCTGGCTGCCGTTTAACAGTGAAGGACTGTTGTTAAGCATGGCAGGGGAGGCACAGGGCTCTGGGGGTAAGGCTGCAACTTCTGAGTCCTCCTTATGGAGGTCAGTGAGGCCATTGGTGGCCTTGACGTTCTCGCCGGCCTGCGGCGGAGGGACGATCTCCTCCACTGGGCCGTCCTCTTTATGCTCTGCCTCTTTGTCGAGGCTGAGCGGAGGGTCCGAGGACAAGTTCGATTTTGCGCCCACGTCATTTTCCTTCGGTGCAGTGGAATCAGGGCTCTCCGGTTTGAGAGAAGGTTCCTCCTCTACCCCCTGCGATTCACCTGAGCGAGGGCAGCGTTTGGCCCTCTTCAGGGTGGGGGAGGCTTCCGGCCCACCCCCGGCCCTAGGATGCTCGCAGCTGTCCGATTTGTCTGACTCGTCCTTCTCAGAGCTTGGCAAGCCTCGCTTTCCATAAGATGGCAAGGGCTCACCCTCCGCCTTGCTCTCGGCTACCTTTCCAACCTGTGCTCCGATCTGCTGGTGCTGCTGACAGTCCTGCTTCTTCTTGGGCGAGCGGGCTCTGGGCACAGGAAGCAGAGAGCTCTCTTCTGGCTGGGCGATGCTGCGGTTCCTGAGGGTTCGACCACAAAAGTTCTCATCCAATCCATTTATCCCCACTGATGATCTTGTGATGCGTGAAGAGCGGGACGCGGCCATACTATGGTGGGTGCCTACTGTCTTCTCATCATGGTGCTCTCTCCTCAGCAGCAGAATGTGGGCACCTGAGGGACATGATGAGAGAAAAATTACATATCATTGAGATTCAAAGTTAAATGGGTTTGAGACTATTCCTACAGTGTACAATTTAAAAAAATGCCAACAATAAGACTTTTTCGGGAAAAATTGCTAGAAAAATAGCTAGAAATCAGACCACTATAAATTCATAAACACATTTATGCTGGAATACAGTGATTACAGTGATGTGTTTATTATTTTTAACTCATTCTATCCAACGCTTCTGGAACAATCACAAGCTATTTCTGCTATTTCTGTAAAACCTTGTATTTGTTAGCCAGCTAACAACTTTATCTGTGTGTCATACCTAAAAAACACAATAAGATGATTTATCAAAAAGATAAACATGATGGACCAAAAAGCGAAATATGGAAAAATGAAGTAAAAGAAACATTTTAGCTGAAGTTTAAAGAAGTGACATAATCTGTTTGCTGGATGTTCTTTCACAGTGGATCAATGAGAAGTCTTCTTATGAGAAGTCATAAGTCATTTCATGAAAAAAGATGGCGGCGTGGTGTCGTATCCTGGCAGGTGCTGCGACTCCACTTTTTTTATACCTAGCTGGCCGTTTTCTTTGCCTTTATACACATTTGTCAGAGACCATTTTAAACTTTACTTGCAGAGTTAAACGTTGCAAACACGAAAAAATTGAATCTACGTTTCGTGGTGTGTTTTTTCTACTATTACTTTTTTCTACGGCTGCACTACCGGTACGTGTTGTGTCCAGAACTCTCCACGTGGATCAGTTGTGCTCCAAAAACTCGAGTAGTTATGCTGCTCATGGGAAAAACTGTTTATATTCTGGTTTTCTCCAGTCATCTACTCGTGTGGGAAGTTTTCATCATAACCTGCTCGGATACTATGCAGTTTATTCATCTGCTCTGGACTATGGACACGCTGTGATGTGTAAATATGCCTCTAGACAACGGGGTTTTGCTGCGCCGTCACGAAATACTCATGGGTTTTTGCTTATTTTACTGCTGCTCTCTGGGGATGTTCAATTAAATCCGGGACCGGTTAACCCGATAATACAGCTGGACTCTGGAGTTGAGCCTTATTTGGGGACGACCTCGGCAGAGTCTCACGACGAGGTGAGTGCCTGGGGATTTCCCGTGGATGTACCAGGCCCGTCAAACAGCAGGCCCGTCAAACAGCAATGTGTGTTTAATTAACAATGTACACAATGCTCCAGTGCACAATATTTCTACACTGCTCGGCTGGGTTATCATCTTTCTCAGTGAAAGCTATTATTCACTGGAACACTCTACCAGAAGACATAAGGATGTGCACATCTATTGACATGTTTAAATTAAAACTAAAATTTTATTTAAAAGCGATTCAAATCTGTAAACACTGATATAGTTGTGGTTTAACTGAACGTTATTGGTATTTTTTTATTTTTATTGGCTCTGATGGGATGTGTATAAGTATTATTGTATTGTATGTGTTTGTTATTTTGTTTTTATGTTTATCTGTGATTATGATTACCTGCCAAGGGACCGCGGATGAAAACTAGCCATTGGCTAAATTCGGTGCAATGCATGAAATGGAAACATTTATGTTAAAATTGTACATGGTCCCTTTTCAGATAAAGTTGAATAATAATAAGAAAAGAACAACTTGTGTATCAAGAATGAGAGTGCATTCATGGAATATCTGGAATATTTCTAAGGAAAAGAAAGGAAGGAGAGAGGGGTCTTTATTTATGGCTTTTTATGCTAGTGAAAAACATCAACTTATTGCTGAAGAAAATGTGAGTGATGTCTGCCTGTGCAAAAGTTGCAACCACAATGCCAAGACGCTGCTATGCAATAATTTACTTGTTCAAGACAGTAGAGCCAGCCAAGGTCTCGGACCTCTCCTTCAAAGCAAATCTGTAGGATTTTTTTGCTCGCTTAAAAAACCGAATAGTACAACCCACCTTAAAAAGCAGCACAATTGAAGATAACATTAATGTCCATAGCACAAACATGATCTCCAGTTTATTAGTTAGAGGTATGTGCATTAGTAATAGTGATGACGCATGAGCAAACATCACTAACAAGATTCCCACAATAGATCTTTAATGTGCACAATTTCAGAGGAAAAGCTTTATCGCAAGTTCTTCTCTCTTGCTCTCACGGTCTTTGGGTTTGGTAAAACAAGAGTCAAACATACACCACTGGAGAAATAACAACCTACGGGCAGGCTATGATCTACTGTTATCTAATATTCTATTAATACGTTTGATATTCAGAGGTTATCTGAGAGCTTCCCACAAGCTATCAATCTACTTATCACACATGTTCTTGCTAGGCTTTCCCTGGTGCATTTCTAAAAGTTGCTAAAGCTGCAGATGTGAAGGGGGATGGTCTGTATTTAAGCTGTTTCTTATCTGAGCTATAAAAGAGCTTTTCAACAATAGCCACTACACCACAGACCTTCAGTCCTGAAAGACTGATCATGGGTGTCTCTAATGAAGCAGTCAGTGCTCCGCAGAATCCTGTGAGCAGGGTCCAAAATTAACATTTATAAAGCACCAAAAAATGTAAGTTTGCTGGTACCTCTAGGTACTGCAAATTTACATGATGTAAACTGAATTATAACAATCTAAACGTCACTGATGTAAAGCCAAAGTATATTGGGTGCCTTCAAGTCAAAGTATACATCCATGTTCCGTTCTGGCTTGCAGACAGTGATTTTCATTATCAAAACAGTCCACTGATTTCAGCACATCCATGTCTATGCAGACTTGTGTGAGTTATTTTAAGGCTTAGAAAAAAAAAGGTTGAAGCGCCAAACACAGCCATCCACACTCATGGTTAATGGAGTACACTTTGAAAGGCTTGACCACTCAAACTGTTCAAGATGGAGCAGAATGCAAAAAAATTAGGTATACCTGGGTCCTCAGTGTCACATCAGATTCAAATCAAATGGTCAACTAAGAAAAACAGAAATGTTTTTCTCAGAGGAAAATTTCCAATAAAAAGTTTCTTTATTTTTTCTTCCGCAAACTCAAAGTGAAACATACACAAAATATTCCTAGAAATATTCCAAACCACCAAACCTCATATTTAAGAAATGTTCACATTTTTGTGAAGGCCATTTCATGGATAGACGTGATAAGTTAATTTTATATGCTGCTGTCTGTGACAAAATGGCCTGCAATGTTTGTCACAATATCTTTTTATTAGTTAAAAAATATAGACTACCCTTTTATTTATTCTCAATATTAAATAGAACAGATTTACTTTAGGCTTTTATTCACATATAAACAATGAACAAAGCACACAGAACACATCAAAGATGGTAAACTGAAGTTCACAGTGCTTGCGTGACACAAAAACAAACCTATTGAGGATCAAGCAAGCACATTTGAGCTTCTGTTTACCATATTTGATGTTCTTTATGTATGTGTGTTGAACAATGTTTATATGTGAATAAAAGCCTTAATTAAAATAGTTTCCTTCATATGAAACAACCATGTCACTTCACAAGACTTAGATTAAACCACTATTCATTTGGATTACGGTTACAATGTCTGTTACAATTTCTTTATGAACTTTTTGACGCATCACCGTTTTGGCAGAAGGGACTTTCAATTAAGGGACAGAAATTTCTCAGGTTTCATTAAAAATATCTTCATGTGTTTCAAAGACGAACGAAGGTCTTATGGATTTGGAATGACATGAGGGTGAGTGGTAATAGAATTTTCATTTTTGGGTCAAATATCCCTTTAAATGTTTTAAACATCCCCTTATTAATAAAAAAAAAATCGAAATAATAACATTTAATGGCAAATTTTCTCCAGCTATGGAGTAAATTCACAAGCCATCGGCATACGTGGCAAAAAGCAAATTTTGGACCGAGTATGACAAATGAAGCAGTCAGCCCAAAGACCAGTGCTTACAGAACATGATATATTGATATGGGAATGGTGAAATGGGCAAAATCTGCAAGGCAGCAGCAAAAAGGTACCACATTTCAGCTGCCTCACAGGAGACTGAAAGGAGCACTGGGCTGGTACTGTCGTCTGCATTACTCAATAATTAGTGTGGTACTAAAGTCAAACAGACGCTTGAAGTGAGACAAATTAGATTACACCATATCAAATTTCTCAATTGCCTCCATTCTGCTAAGGCTGTGAAAGAGGATACATCTAGGACATATGCAGTAGGGGGGAAAAAAAGGATAATTTTAGGTTTTTATTACAGCTAGAACACTTCCATAAAGGCTGTCCTTGAAGAGAAAAAAAACACAGTTTTTATGAAACCATGGCTCTAGATATTTCACTAAAGACCACACCACATTCTCCAGTCCACACAATCTCTGCCATGTACCATTAGTGTGATCTCAATGACGAGAGGCTTTGCGTAAGATTTTGTACTGCTGACATTAGTTTTGCTTGAGAAATGAGAGGCACCTGAAGACAGTCTTACACGCATCCCTTATTCACACTCCACTGAAGCCTCCTGGTGAGTGTCTAATGTGATTTGACCATGCATATAAAAAAACGAGACTGAAAACAGACAGAAGGTGTGATGTCAGGCCTGATTACTAAAAGCACTAAAACGGTTAGAAAACATGTACCATGTCTGTTTAACTACTAGATTCTATTTTCCTCTCTCTAGAAATACTATAAAATACCTGTTTTTCCATACTGCAAATCCAAACCTGTGGTCGTCTTCTTTTCCGTTTTCTCATTTATTGCAATTTACTGATCTAAAAAAGAAAAAAAACACAGATTTTTTTTTTCCCTAAAAAAAAAACTAAAACAGGACAAATAATAGTCATCATTAGAGCCCGACTGATATGGGTTGTTTGGGGGCCGATGCCGATACCGATATTAGGGAGTAAAAAAGACCGATACCGATATATCGGCCGATATTCTTTATGTGTAGGCTATATTATAGTAGAGTATAGTCAAAAGTTTGGACACACTTCCCATTCGTGTGTCCAAACTTTTGACTGGTACTGTATATAGAATACAGTATATAGCCTACATAAACAGAATATATATACATAAACACATTTTTTTGCAATGATAACTCAAATGCACAGGTTCACACATAATGCCAGGTTCACATTACTCCGTTTGCAGTGCGTATGTAGTGCGTATTTTTTCCACGCTCATGTTAACGGATTAAAGCGTTCACACTGCACACGGTTACGGTCCGGCAGTGAGCTCCAGGAGCGGTGCGTCTGCAGCAGTGCAGAGATCGTTATTTTTGCGGCCATGCATGCGCTGAATTAAAGTAACAGCACATTGTTTGCAGTAAATATGAACATGGATTGACACGAAAATGTAGTAATTACACCATAAAGGGAAAGAGCACGTTTAGATAAACAAGGCAATAATAGATGGCACACGTGGAGGTAGGAAAACAAAGCTCTTTAAGAACCGCACGATTTCTTGTAATAAAGATTTAAATGCAAAAGGTAAGGCAGTAGAGCTGACTATTTCTGTCAATGGTAAGTTTGTGATAACGTAAGAAAAGTAGTTTAAATGTTTTGCCACTTGCTTGAGCAACTTAATATATAAATCTAGAAGTAAATGCAAAAGTAAAAAGCACTGAAGCACTGTGTTGCTGATATTTATTGTGTTTAAACATGTCTGTGAAAGATTGTATTACTGTACTGTGTAAAAAAAAGAATTGCAGTGCTGAAAAAGCATTTTCAGTGACAATGTTTGGATCTGAAATCAAAATAATGGATACATTTTGTGTTTGTGGTAAACAGCCACGAATCAGTAGTGGACTCCTGTGTGAAAGCACAGTCCGTGCTGCTTCCCCTCTAACAAGAGTCACCTAAGAGGGGAATTCCCCCCATTTTCAAAAATGAAATTCAGGCCCTGAATAAATGTTTATAAATCCTGATTGGAGTATCAATATAAATAGTTATAAATGGTAAAAAGAAGGCTTTAAAAAGATCGGTATCGGTGATCGGTATCGGCAGATACTGCTTTCTGTGATCGGTCTCAAAAACCCTGATCGGAGCACCCCTAGTATTTCTGAAGGAAGACTATCTTTAGAAAATTTTCGATGTCATTTTCATTTCATCTTGCATGTTATATGCCTGATAAAGCAGCGTTTGTGAGCTCAATGCTGCTTTGTTTACAGCCGTTAACGGGGAAACCTCTGTTTCTCCCGCTTTAAAGCACCTCCTGCTGGCAGAGAATGAATTTTGCATTTTCTGTAAGTTTGTCTGATTTATGCAGCAAACAGATCGATCGTAGCATCCCTATATATAACTTGAATTAAGAAATTAAACAAGGTAACTGTGTAGGGCAAGCAAGCTACTGCCAAACCAACCGGGCCAGGTTTATGCAGGAAGCACACCTTTTCCAAATGTAAACATCTAAAATGAATAAATAATAATAATTTAAAAAAAATTGTTTTCACAAACTCTGTGTTGTGTATTTTCTGGTAATCAAAAGAACATGCAGAACATTCATATTTAAATCGTCTTTTTGCAGTTTAATATTCACAGACACAGTATATATATATATATATATGTATATGTACTGACCTGTTTTTTTTATTTATTCATCAAAAATAAGACAAATTCCATGAAATTCTGCGTTATACAGTAAATTCCATTTTTATGACTGGATTCCGCGATTCCGTCCATGTTTTCTGCATCACGGAAATCATAGGGCCCTACTAATGTAGCAAACAAATATGATAAACTTATTGTGAGAGTAAAAGACGGGGACATTGTTGTTTATTTACTTAGAATTGAGTCTCTCCAACTAGGTGACAACGTAGCGTTAAATCGCCATTCAACAGACTCAAACCACCACCGCACTGCCATCTATTGGACTGCAGAAAGATACTAATTTTTCAATCTGCTACTGACAAACTATGCTGACACCGTGTCCACTGGCAGGACGCGACAAAGCGACCGTTGAAAATCATTTGAACTTTGTGTCAGCACGTCATAAATAGAACGAGGCATCAGTTTACTGCATCCAGTGTAGACAACATCACTGATTATAATGGGTTCTATTCTACACCAGACGCGAGCGGCGCGGCGTGACAAAATACAATAGAATTCTATTGTATTTTGACGCGCTGCGCGATATGATGTGACCGATGTGATAAGCATGAGTTCTGGGCCGCGGCGCGGCCGGTATAAACACCAGAATTGACTGAGTGACCGTGATCAGCTCCGGTGGTCGTAACACAGGTTTTAAATGCGCCGCAGACATGTGCCATGATGCGCAGATCAGCTCTAGTCTCTAACATCACTGAATCGGCTGTTAAAAGTGAGCCATCCAATCATCATATCACCATGCAAAACTAAGAATTAGAATCATTGTAATGTGATGATCAAATATAGGTGCGGGTGGGTGGCGGGCAGTAATTTGGATAATTTGAAGCAGCAGACTCGGGTGAAGTTTGAGCTCATCCGCGCATCTCTACACTACACTGATCTGGGTCGCCAGTAGCAAACAATGGAGCGCGCTCTGCTGGACAAACTAAGTAATTACACCATTCAGAAGCATTTAATCTGCGTTATATGTTCTGTAAAAAAAAATTTAATATCGGCGGCATATTCGCCGATACCGATATATCGGCGACAGGCTCATATCGGCCGACAACATCGGCTAAACGATATATCGGTCGGGCTCTAGTCATCATAATCGTAAAATGAGCTCTTGCTAATGGAGGAGTCACCACTAATGTCATCACACACGCTACAACCCTTCTGACATGACTCATTTGTGCATAATGAGGTTATCTGGAAACTCAAATATGAGTAAGTGAAGGTTAGGTTGCTTGTCTTGATATATGGAGTAAAACCTTAAATAACAGTGCACAATGGTTGATGTAACATGCTGAAGGCAATTCATGCCATGAACATCAGAAAATTCACTAGGATCAAATTTATTAAAGCAGTGGTTTTCAAGCAGGGGTCTCAGCAAACTTAGAGGGCCACAGAAAGACTTAAAACTTTAATTATATTGAAAAAAAAAATTAAATGCTAAAAACACAAAAAATAAAATCAAGATAGATGTAAAATGAATTAATGTTAATTTTTCCGCTCTATTGTTTTAATTAAAGAACATAACAAATTTGAATATTGAATCTTCTGGTATCACAAAATTAATTGTTTATTTATTTTTAATATATGGACACTCACAGTTGGAAATGCAAACTTTTCTAACTCAAACTTTCAGATTTTTTTTTTCATGTTTTATTTTAAAGCTTAGTGACTGTGACATTTAAGTCACGTGATCGTGGTGTAGGCCTAGTTTGTTTGCATTCTATGTTTAGCATTTTACTTCTGGAGATTGTATTTATCCTGTATTATTCTTACTGGGTTTTTGTTAAAGAAACAAGGGTGGTGTTAAATTCTGTGTTGGACTACAAAAATACATCATCACTACAGCACTCTATATCAGAATCAGAAATAGCTTTATTGTCAAGTGTGAATTTGTCTCAGGGACAGGAACTTCCAGTG